AAGCGTCCTTCTCGACATGGCCAAGTGCTACGAAATGATGATGTTGCCAGTTCTCTTCGAGATCTACAGGGCTGTAGGTTTCCCGTTGATGTTCGGCTCGATGTGGATCCAATCATATATCGCGCCCTGGTGTGCAGAAGCCCATGGGTCGTTGTCTGAGTTCTATATCTCCTGCCATGGGGCCCTGGCTGGTCGTAGCCATGCTTGTGCCAACATATTAGCTGTTATGTTGAACCCAGTCAGGCAGACCATTTCCAGATTTCCGCCCATCAGCGCGAGGGTTTTGATGGGCGACGTTTCTCTCCAGTGGCAGAGTCCTGGTTCAACGTGCCGCGCTCGCGTTCGCTGCGGTCCGAGATCTGCGCCGTCGCTTTGTCCCGATCGGTCTCCTGCTGCTGCCGGATAAGTCTGGATTCCTGGCCCACTCGATCGCAGCCGAAAAGAAAGTCAGTCTTTTGGCGCGACGGCTGGGGTTTAAAAGCAAGGCTCACTTCTGGAACTTGGGCCATGATTTATACGGTAGGAGCGTCGTCCGCAGCGTGGAGGCTGGTCGCCGCCGACAGCTCCTGGAGCGCCGGGTGAAACTCAAGGTTTTGATGGAAACGGCTGGGCCCAAAGTGGCAGCGCTCTGGCGCGCTGGGCCCATGCCCAGCGGGGGCCGCGGAGCCTCGGTGGCGGGGGTGGGAGACACCGCGCTTCGCAGCCTGAGGGGGCTAGCTGCGGAGCTGATGGGCGCTAAAGGTCGAGCTCGTGTCATTGCTTATCTTAGCGCCCATAGCGACGTCAGCTACGATCCCATAGTGGATGCTACAGCGCCGCTGGTTTTCCGATATTTCTGGGTCTGGGATCGTACAGCGAATGATTCTGACTTGCGCAAGGCTTGGCAGTCTGCTTACGACGCGCTTTCTGTGAAATCGTCGTGGGCCCAGATCCGAGGTCCCATCGGGGCCGTCATTTTGAGCCTTCGTCGAATCCGTTGGGACCTTGTGGGCCCTCGCTTTATTCGCTCTGAACTCAGCGAAACCTTGTCTTTGCTTTCGGTCTCGAAACCGAGTGCACACGCTGCAGCTGTTGTCGGCCATCCCAGAAGCCGTGGGCTCCGAGGTTGTTTGGGGTCGAGCGCTTCGGCTTGGCGTGCCCTCGGTGCGAAATCACGTGCGCGGGGGCACCTCGAGGGCTCTGCTCGGGGGGGGGGGGGGGGGGTTCTGGCCGCCAGCTCGTAAGTTTATATATATATATGTATATATATGTATGTATGTATATATATATATATATATATATAAACACGGCTGCGCCGGCTCCGACAAGTGCTAATCTTGTAAGCAGAAGCCTGGTACGTTCGGTCACCAATGGTTTGATTGTGGCAGCGTCTGGACCCAAGAGGAGCAGGATCCAAATGTTGCGCCGCCGCTGCCTGATGACCTGATGGAGCATCGTCAGTGGATGAAGGACTCAGCGAAAGGACCTCCGCCCGACTTCGATTCGCTCGAGCTCGCGCACGGTCTCCCTTCGATTCCAATTGAGCTGAGTTCGGCCCCCACTGCGTTGCCAGTGTTTTCTTGGGGTGTCACTCGTTTAAGTTGGGGGCGAACGATTAAAGCCGACGGGTCTGGCCGTGCCAGCGGGGTCCCCGACGTTGCCCGCTGCGGGTGGGCCGCCGTGGAACTCTCGGCCCAGGGTTGGCCGATTCGGGACCGCTATGGGGTCCTCGCGGGGAGGTGCCAGACGGTCCCGAGGTCCGAACGGCAGGCCCTTCTCGAGTTGCTCCGAGTGGCCCCGTGGGGAGCTGAGATCGTCCCGGATCATTTGTCCGCGGTTCGCGAGGGCTCCGAATGGGCTGACCGATTACAGAGAGGATCGAGCCGTCACGCCACCATTTGGCGCGACATGTTTAAGCTCTATCAGGATCGGCTTGAGAGGCCGACCTTTCGCTGGACCCCAGCCCATTGAGATCTTGATGATGTGATGGCCGCTGGGCCTGGTGGGGGTCGGGGGGCGCGTCTCGTGTGTTTGATTTTCCTTGGGAATGCCTGGGCGGACGTCTTCGCGAATTTGGGACCAGCCCAGATATGACTCGCTGACGTTGCCATGGAGGCGCTCAGCGCCTGAAGCAAACTAAACGGGCGTTTGATTTCTCAAATCCAGGGCGGCCCAGTTGGTGACCAGCAGCAGCGCGGTCGAACCTCGGGTCGCCCAAAGGCAGAAACAAAACCCTACGGCCCCACTTGTTTTGCTTTCTCACGACCTCGAGCAGGTCTCTGATGGGTCGGTCCGCTGCACATGGTGTCACTGCTCGGCGAGGACGACCATGGCTCGTGCTCGGTTGGAGCGGCCTGGCGCGCGGTGCGAGCCGACGGCCTTGCATTTTTTTTGTCGGCGGTCAGAACGGAGAGGCTCGGTGGCGCCCTGCCGAGGGCGCGATCGAGTGCCGTCCGATTGGCCTTGTCGGCGCTCGGGCTTCATGATGAGTCGTCGTCGTCGACGTCGTCGTTGCCGCCTCAGACCCGAGCGCCTGACGTGTTCGAGTTTCAAGACACCAGGTGCAGCCCGCGGGGCGCTACCTCGTTTGCAGGCGCTGCGGCGCCCACGCGCTGATAGAGCAGCCAGCCTTCCGCTCGCTGCTGCAGCCCTGTCAGGGCATTCCGACCGCGGGCCAACTCTGGTTCCGTGACGAGGTCCAGGCTGGGCGCGAGCCACGCTAGCTGTGGGACTGGTGGCGAGGCCGTGCTGCGCTCGGCAGCGCTGTCGGCCCTGTGGCCACGAGGCTCGTTTCCTTTTCGGGTCGTGGAGCTGCAGCTCCAGGCCTTTCACGGCGGCCGCTGCCGCCCACTTGCCCGCCAGGTCTTATTCGAATCGGATGATGCGCTTCGGCTTGATCCCTGATCCTTTTCCTATCCTCTCCTCTTCCTCTTCCCTTGAGTGCCCAGGTGGGCTGGGGGAACGGGGGGTGCCCCCCCCCAAAAAAAAAACTTCGCGACCTGCTAGCCACCGATCCAGGTTCGGGCGGGCCCACGCACATGTCGCGGCCCGTCTCCGTGACATTCAACCGCCATTCTGCCATTCATGCCACCGACGGCCGCCGAAATACTCGCGACGTTCTCTCTCCTCCAATTTTCCTCCTTCCTCCTCCTCACCCTCTTCCCCGTCCTCCTCCATGGGGGGGACGAGAAGTACCCATACCGCTGCTCCACGGATTTTCCCGTTGGTGCTTTCCGACCAGAAGTCCGACGAGCATCCAGCCGTGTCGACGAGGGCTCGCCAGAATCATATGCGGCATCGGCATCTTCTCCTTCACTGAAACCCCCTCCGCCTCTTCCCTCCCTGCACGGGGCTGGTTTTTCATCCCGGGCAGTTTTTGTTAGACGGTCCCGAGGCCCGGCGAGGGCCCCAAGAGGCCGACAACGTAGAAACACATCCCGTCCCAATGTTTTCACGGCGCGAGGATGTCTGGGTCCCCCTGATTTGGGCCTTGGGCAGAGCGAGTTGCACACAATTGCACCACGGATGGACAAGGCTTGCGGCAGCGTGAAAGCCGGAAGTCCACGACCGTCGGCCAGCACAACGCTGGCATGGTGTACAGCACAGACGGTGGCGCGACGACATATCACAGTTTAAACAGACTACCCATTGGGGGGATCATCACACACACACGCACGGGTTGGACTACCCGTCGGTCGTTGAAAGTAGGTACTTTTGGATTCCCAGATCCCAATCTACTTCAGGCGCCTTCCTACTTCAAGGGTCGAGTGGCTTTCCTGTTCCTTTTTGTTCAGGGAGCGGTCGTAAGCCCAATCTACTTCTAGCGCCTTCCTACTTCATGTTTCGACCTACTTGTTCCGATCGACGGGTATGCTTGTGATCGGAGGCTATCGGACAGTTGTCAGCCACGCGCAGTGGGAGGTAGGGGGAGGGGGGAACGCTTCTTAGAAACACCCCTGTTTCTTAGAAGCCACGGGCCTTGTCTGTAGATGTAGGGCCGGTGAAGAACTGGCCTCCTTCTAAGAAGCCTTCCCTCCTCATCCTACCCCCTTCGCACGCGCCGCCAAAGTTGGGAAGACGCTTTGCTCCGCCACATGCAGTAAGTGGACCCCATCCCACCCGCGCTGCTCCTAGGGAGCTTTCCTGCCGGTCGGCGGACTCAGCGCGCTCCGCTAAGCTCTTAACCTCTGACTCCCCTTCCCCTCCCCCTCCTCCGTTCTTCTTCCTTATCGATAACTCCTCCCTGTCGCACCTCGAGGCTGGTCGAAAGGGCGGGCAGGGCGTTTCGCTTGAGACTTCCTCACGAGTTATGACCCTGAAGCTTGCAATGTGCAAGAGTTTCGCGGATGTAAGTCGGTCCGTTTTCAAACGTGGTTCTCGCCTTAGCGCCGTGCACATTTGTTTCAAAAGTTAGCAAGTGCTTCACGGATGGAGGGCGGTTCTTTTTCAAGGTGTGGTTCTCGCCTTAGCGCCGCGCGCATCCTTTTGAGATTTCGCAGCAAATTCAAGGATTAGTTTTGTTAACCTCCCTGAAGTGGTGTTGGCACGATGTCGGAATGTCAGGGCGCAGTCGTCACGTTGATTCGCTTGTCGAATTCCCAGGAATGATGTTCTGGCAAGATTCAAAGTCGTCAAGACGCAGCACTGACGGAGATTTGCGACTTTGACATCCCAGAAAGGGCGCTCTGGCACAGCTCCGGGTTTTCATACGGTGGTCTTCCAACGGGGCACTTCCCTCAGTGAGGATGAATCCGTGAAGAAGCCTATGAAGACGGTGCTCGAAGGGAAGGCTTCTTGCAATATCGTTGATGGAATTTGGGTTTATACTTGTCCTCCTCCTTCTCCTCCTCCCGGCTTTCTTGTCCTCCTCCTCCTGATGTTCCTCCTCCTCCTCCTGATTTTCCTCCTCCTGCTCCTCCTCCTCCCCTCCCTCCTCCACTCCCTCCTCCTCTCCCTCCTCTTCCCTTCCCCCCTCCCCTCTGCCCGCGCCCCGGACCCCCCCCCAAGCGGCCCCGCCGCCCAGGCGGCGCCCGGGCCCAAGAAGAGGCTGAGGCTCTCGCGGCATCCGTGCGGCTGCATGGTGCACCTCGTGCAGCCGTCTGGCGACCGCGGGGGGGGGAGGGTCGGGAGCCTCGAGACGGGGGTCGAGGCAAACGGGGGTCAGCCACAGCGCCAGATCTTGCAGGATCCTTCAGGGACAGGGTCGCGTTGGCCCGGGTTTGGGTGGCGAATCCTGCAGGATCTTGCAGGATCCTTCGCATTGACCCGGGTTTGAGTGACCCGGGTCTGGGTTGACTTGGGTCAGCAGATCCCCGAGAGGGGAGGGGGTCGCCAGTGGGGAGACGGGTCCGAAGGGAAGCGGGTCCTGAGGTTGTTCGCCGTTTTCGGGCTGACCAGAAGAAAACTGCTCAGGATGAAGAACTCGTCTTGGGGAAGGCCCCAGGGTCAAGGACCCGTTCCCCTCAGGACCCGTTTCTCCCATGCTAAGAGGAGGAGGACGATGAGGAATGGAGGAGGATGATGATGAGAAGCAGGAGGAGGAGGAGGAGGAGGAGGAGGAGGAGGAAGGGGAGAAACCGGAGAACGAGGATGAAGAGGAGGAGGAGGAGGAGGAGGAGGAGGAGGAGGAGGAGGAGGAGGACGAGGCCGTCCGAGGGAGTGGGTGGGGGTCGGAGTCGAGGATCGTCCTGTTGTTAGTGAGGTTTGACTTGTTGGCGCCCTTAGTGCGTTGGGATTTGTGAGCAGCAGCGACAGAAGGTGTGCTCGACATTGAGAAGGAGGAGGAGGAGGAGGAGGAGCGTTTTGCAGGGCGCAGGGGGTCGGTCCCCCTGCTTCGCCCGCTCACGCCCATGGGCCTGCCCCGCCTTCGGCGGGCAGGGCTGTTGAGGAGCCCAGCGCGGTGGCGGAAGTGGCATTAGCGCCACCCGCTGCGGGCTCCCATCGTGGCTGACCTCGTGGGACTTTGCTGGGGCGGTTCCTTCTGGGGCCGCCCCCAAAGGAAGGGAAAGGGAAAGAGGAAGGGTAGGAGTGGGAGAGGCATGCAGGAAGGAAAGAGGTCCTATAAGAGGAAACAGGTCCTGGAGTTTTTCCGCCGTTTTCGGGCCTTTGCCCTACCCGGGCCCCTGGGACGTCGGGAAATGACTGCAGGGTGAAAAGCTTGTCTTGGAGACAGCCCCAGGGTTCTGGACCCATACCTCCGTCGTCGTGGCTTTTGTATTCTCGGCGTCTTTTCCTCGGTCTTGGCCGCCCGGGTCGTCACGTCGTCGAGTTCCACGGGGCCCTCAAGAAGAGGTCCCGTGGATGAGAGCTCGCCCTCTGGGAAAGGGGTCGAGACACATGGGGCCGCGGATTCACAAGCATCTGGTCGTCGGGTGTCTGGGAAGCATCCAGACACGTGAGCTTGCGATTTCTGTCGGTGTTCAATCAAGGTCACCTTAGCCATCCAGCTTTCGGTGATTACTGCCGAAGGCCGCCGAAAATCCAGCGATGTCCGACGAGGGCAGATGGGTAACAATCCATGGTCGAACGCGCACAATAAACAAGCGATGTACACCCCCCCTCGTCAGGCTGGTGAGCCATCACCATCTTCATCTTCATCTTCATCTTCATCCTCATCCTCATTATCATCCTCATCCTTACCGCATCAGCCGCACCTTCCCCCCCATCATCAGCATCACCATCACCATCACCATCACCATCATCATCATCATCATCATCATCATCATCATCATCATCATCATCATCGTCATCATCATCATCATCATCATCATTATCATCTTCATCTTCATCTTCATGATCATTATCAGCATCATGAACATCATCAGCATCAGCACCATCATCACACCATCAGCATCGTCATCATCAACACTCACCACCAACACCACCATCAGCAGCATCAGCATCATCATAGTCATGATCAGCATCACCATCAGCAGTATCAGCGTCTTCACCACCATTGCCATCATCATCATCATCATCATCATCATCATCATCATCATCATCATCATCATCATCATCATCACCAACACCATTATTATCAGCATCGTCATCGTTGCTCACGTCATTTCCATCATCATCACCATCATCATCGTCATTACCCTCGCCACCATCACCATACTCAATACCAGCATCAGCATCGTCATCGACATCGGAATCGTCATCACCAGCATCACTAACATCAGCATCATCATCATCACCATCATAATCAGCAGCAGCATCGTCATCGCCATCATCATATTCATCAGGTTAAGCATCACCAGCATCCCCATCACAATCACCAGCATCATTGTTATCGTCACCTTACTTATCATCATCATCACCATCATCACCACCACCACTACTGCCATCATGACCTATGACTCATCATCATCATCGTCATTATCCTCGCCACCATCACCATCCGCAACACCCTCATCAGCATCTTCATCGACATCGGAATCGCCACCACTATCATCATTACCATGATCATCATCATCATCATCATCATCATCATCATCATCATCATTATCATCATCATCATCAGCATCAGCATCAGCATCAGCATCAGCATCAGCATCAGCATCAGCATCATCATCATCATCGTCATCATCATCATCATCATCATCATCATCATCTCCATCATATTCATCATCACCATCATCATCAGCACTCACCTTCGCCACCTCCGCATACCTATCCTATTGGCCCAGGGCCCACGATACCCTTGTCGTCATCATCGCCACTAGCACCACAGTCATTTGCATAGTTTGCCTAACTATCGTGAACATGCCTACTATTCGTCATTTCCTTCGTTGGTATGTACGCGGAGCGTTCGCAGCTGGTCTTCGCCGTGACATTCTAGCGGGGAATCCCTATTCCACTTTGGTTGCTGCCCTTCTGATTTGTTGTGGGGGGGTAACTTGAACATATGTTTCGCGAGGTGCGTTGGACTGGACGGATCGCACCCGTCGGGCATGCCGTTTGATGTTTGGTTGCCGAGTGCGCAATGCATGACGCAACTAATACCAGGTTGTTCAATTCTCGTCCGCCGAGTGTGAAACCTGGGGCGCAACCAATAACACTCCGCCTCATGTTCGCTGTTCAGTGCACAACCTGTGGGGCAACCCATGGAGAGAGCAAGAAATCTGTGAGGGAATCCGTGGATGGGGCACCCGATGGATCCCGCGACTTATGGCGCAACCCATGGATGGCGCAACCCACGGCGTAACCCATCGATGAGTCATCCTATGGCGCAACCCACTGATCGCGCACCCCACGTCGCGACACATGGGTGGAACACACCCCGCGCAGGTTCTACAGGGCCACGCCCGATGTATGCGCCATGATGGCTTGCGGTTGAACCCTGGCGGTGAGTTGCTTTGTGATTCCAAACACCGTGCTGTAACTTGCATTTGAACTCGCACTGTGTCTAGTCGACTCCGTCTACGCTTGCCTATATCTGCCAATGCTTCGAACAGCGGCCGCGAGGTGATGTTGTGCACGTTCCTCCAGAGGCCCGTCCGCCTTGTCTTCACGGCAGGATGAAGAGCTCGATGAGGCATTTCAAATGGTTGCTCTGTGCGGGGGCTGTTTGTGCCCACGTTGTTACCCTCACGGCCCCCAGTGCACACCATACGCCAAATGGGTGTTCTCGGAGGGAGGAAGAACGGATTAGGTTGCGGAGCAGAAGGAGAAGAAGGATGACGATGCCAGGGAGGAAGAGGAGGAGAAGGTGGACGAGGAAAAGGATGGAGCAGCAGGAAGAGGGAGAAGGGCGATGGGGGAGAGGAGGAGGACAGCGCAGGAGTTGTAGGAGGACAGTGCAGAGTTGCAGAGGCAGCGTACTCCGTGAAACGATCGTGAGTTTCACCCTTCTTTGCATCGCTCGGACGTGTGCATTTACTCTCGGCGAGGACCATCGAGGAGTAGCTTGGAGCATATGGGGAACACGTATACGCACGAAACCGAACAGTGCACGGGGAATGGACGTCCGAGCGATGGCAAGTCTTCGTTTCCCGAGAGACCGTGTGATGGAAGAAGCCAGTTGGCAAAAATGATGTTTGGCCCATGTGGTCACGAAGTCTCAGGTCTGCGTGCTTCTGCGTGAGTCAGGTCGCAGTTGCGCTGGCACGACCAAACATACGAGTCCTCACGGGACTTCCGATTCAATGTCATCCGAAGTTATCTTCATCTTGCTTTCGTTTTCGTTGTCTCCTTTAGTCTCTCTCTCTCTCTCTTTCGCTAGACTCTAGGTCGAAGCCTGTGCATCTCGTGGGCCGCGTTCAGACGAATATTCGATTCGATGGGTCCGATTCGATACCGATTCCCGCCGTCTCGATCTGATTCGATTCTGATCCCGACGGCCAGGAGCTTGCCGATGGTTGCGTGGCGTGGTTGCACATGTTGGCGCGGCCGATCCGATGCAGTTTTTACTCCGTACCGATGCGGCCCGGCCTGGCGCACTCCGATCAGATCCGACTTCAGATTCGATGTTGATTGAGTGTGCCTGTCTTCTTCTAGTGCCCAGCCTTTCGGGGCTCGTTTTTGTTCCATTCTGGGGTCTTTCCTCGCGCTGTTTTGTCGGCCACGGGTGACTTTTCGCCAGAGTGCGCGGCTTTGGGGTGCGCGGGGCGGCCAAACTAAAGCATGCACGCCTCTGTCGCACCGCATGCAACGATGGGCTGGGCATGCCAGGCACCAAAGGTCACTCTTGGCTAGGGGTCGACTCATCCGCGCGCGCGCCAGGGCGATTTCGTCATAGGCAGGAACCCGAAGTCCCCCGCCTAGCATCACCTTGGATCATTGAGTCGGTTATGTCGTTCAGGACAGTGTGGCTGTGACATTGCGAACGGGCATCTGTCGCATTATCTCGAAGTTCCATGGATGGTCGAACGGCAGCGCTTATGCATCGTTCGCGATTTTGTTCATAGGAGGCGTGTGGGCATTCCATTGCACCTGCAAGAGGTGAAGCGCAGGGCATGCTTGGAATTGTTTGGGCGCTTGGCGGACCGCTAAGTGGGCATTTCAGAGTGGTTGCGCCGAATCTCTTCGAGGATGTGGCGACAAGATGGGAAGGGGTTTTGCAGGTCGCGGGCAACGTGGGCACAGCGGTGGCAGAGCCGATTCGACTCATACCCAGGATTGAGATCTTGGAATTGCTTTCCATTCCTCCCCCTCTCTTGGAGTCTGGGGGGGATCTTTGGGCATCAACACAGGCCAGGTCCGTCGAGTAAGGGCGAATAGCAATAGAGTCGTCCGCACCTCGTTGACTGTGGCTCGAGGGGAGAGGAGGGGACCCAGCGCCACCGAGACGGGTACCCAGTGACAGGCACTCCAGCAGCGCGCAGGAAGGTGGCAGGATGTGCTTGGAAAGGGGGGGGAAGTGAGCCGAGGGGGGAGGGGGAATAGGGAGCGGATGGGATGTGGGAAAGGGAAGCCGGGGGGGTAAAGGCTTCTCCTTACTCTCACACCCCCTCCCCCATGAATAACCCTAGTTTTACCTCCTTTCTTGACCTCCATCTCCTTTTTCCCCCTTGCCCCCTTGTCCCCGTCTCCCGCTATCTTACCCTTCTACTCCTTCCTTCCCATTCTCTCCTACTTCCCCTCCTCTCCCTCCTCCTACTTTCATTCGCCGTCATCGTCCGCTTCCTCCTCCTCATCCTTCTCCTCCTTTTCCTCCTCCTCCTCCTCACCACCACCATCCTCACCATCCTCATTCTCCCCGCACATCTTCTCCTCTCCCTCCACCCTCGCCTCCCCCTCTCTCCTGTTGATCCTCCCCCCCTGGGCCTCCGCCTTCCATTCCCATCCTCCCTTTCCTCGTCCTCCTTTCTTCCCAACCATCCTGTGGTGTTGGGTCCTCGTTTTGAAGAGACGGCGCCCCGCGTTCCTTCCTCCTCCCGCTTCTCCCTCCTCCTCCTCCTCCTCCTCTGCTCTCGGCACACCCCTCACACGTTTCGTAGCCTCATAGGGAGCTCCACCGAAGGTCCCAGTGGGGGTGCCCGCATGCGTCCCCCACGCCCAGGACAGCGTTTCGTGGCCCCATAGGGAGCTCCACCGAAGGCCCCAGTGGGGGTGCCCGCATGCGTCCCCCACGCCCAGGACAGCGTTTCGTGGCCCCATAGGGAGCTCCACCGAAGGCCCCAGTTGGGGTGCCCGCATGCGTCCCCCACGCCAAGCACAGCGTTTCGTGGCCCCAAGGGGAGCTCCACCGAAGGCCCCAGTGGGGGCGCCCGCATGCGTCCCCCACGCCCAGGACAGCGTTTCGTGGCCCCATAGGGAGCTCCACCGAAGGCCCCAGTGGGGGTGCCCGCATGCGTCCCCCACGCCAAGCACAGCGTTTCGTGGCCCCAAGGGGAGCTCCACCGAAGGCCCCAGTGGGGGTGCCCGCATGCGTCCCCCACGCGCAGGACAGCGCTTCGTGGCCCCATAGGGAGCTCCACCGAAGGCCCCAGTTGGGGTGCCCGCATGCGTCCCCCACGCCCAGGACAGCGCTTCGTAGCCCCATAGGGAGCTCCACCGAAGGCCCCAGTGGGGGTGCCCGCATGCGTCCCCCACGCCCAGGACAGCGTCACGTGGCCCCATAGGGAGCTCCACCGAAGGCCCCAGTTGGGGTGCCCCCATGCGTCCCCCACGCCCAGGACAGCGTTTCGTGGCCCCATAGGGAGCTCCACCGAAGGCCCCAGTGACGGTGTCCACTTGCGTCTCCCGTGCCCAGGACAGCGTTTCGTGGCCCCACACGGAGCTCCACCGAATGCCCCAGTGGGGGTGCACACGAACTGGGAGAGGGAGGTGGAGACGAACTGGGAGAGGGGGGAGGAGGATGAGGAGGAGCAGGATGAGGAGCAGGAGGTGGAGGAGGAGGAGGAGGAGGACGAGGAGGAGGAGGAGGAGGAGGAGGAGGAGGAGGAGGAGGAGGGAGGAATACGACGAACTGGGAGAGGGGGGAGGAGGATGAGGAGGAGCAGGAGGAGGAGGAGGAGGAGAAGGAGGAGGAGGAGGAGGAGGAGGAGGAGGAGGAGGAGCAGTCATCACCAGGCTAAAGGCTCGCACTCCTCGTCCTCGTCCTCGTCGCCGCCGTCGTCGTCTGCGTCGGCGGTGGTTCCGGATCGTCCCGCGGCTTGCGGGTGGGCGGCCTTGGACGTGCCGGGGATCGACCGTTTCCGCGACGTTTGCTTCCCTCCCAATGGCTGCGTTCGCATGCCTCCCCCACACCCATTTCGGCACACCCCTCACACGCTTCGTGGCCCCATGGGGAGCTCCACCGAGGGCCCCAGTGGCTGCGTTCGCATGCCTCCCCCACACTCATTTCGGCACACCCCTCACACGCTTCGTGGCCCCATAGGGAGTTTTGGCACACCCCTCACACGTTGCGTGGCACCAGTGGCACAACTCGTAGTAGTAAGTGTTCTCTACGTTCTGGCACACTGAAAGCTCCAGTGGCCCAGTTCCTTCCGTTTGCACGCTTGACTCGCCCACGACCCGGAAATATTGAGCTTCGTCGTGGTGGGGGCCTCGTCTTGACTGAAGCGGGATCCTCGCCTGTGGGGCCCGCAGCTTCATGTTCGAATCCGAACGAGTCCGGTGAGGAGGAGGAGGAGGAGGAGGAGGAGGAGGAGGAGGAGGAGGAGGAGGAGGAGGAGGAGGAGGAGGAGGAATTTAGGAGGACGACGGCGGCCGGGCGCAGGGGAAACCCTGGCGTCGGGGCCGGGGGTGGTAACCCATCCTCGGCCGAAGCGGCGGCGGGGCGCAGGGGGAAACCCTTGCGTCCCGGCCGGGGGTGGTAACCCATCCTCGGCCGAAGCGGGCGCAGGGGGAACCCTTGCGTCCGCGGCGTCGGTGGTAACCCATCGGCGGCCGCCGGTGGTAACCCATCGGCGGCTGAATCGGGGGCTGGGGGAAAACCTTGTCTCCGGGCTGGCGGTGGTAACCCATTGTCAGCCGAATCGGGTGCAGGGGGAAACCCTTGCGTCCGGGCTGGCGGTGGTAACCCATCGTCAGCCGAATCGGGTGCAGGGGGAAACCTTTATGTCCGGGTCGCTGGTTGTAACCGATCGGCGGCCGAACCGGGCGCACGAGGAAACCCTTGCGTCCGGGCTGGCGGTGGTAACCCATCGTCAGCCGCATCGGGCGCAGGGGGAAACCCTTGCGTCCGGGTCGCCGGTTGTAACCGATCGGCGGCCCCTCACAACAACAAAAAAAAAACGCCCTGCGTGCTCGTGGGTAAGGGGCCACGAACGCAATTTGTTCCCAACCATCCTGTGGTGTTGGGTCCTCGTTTTAAAGAGACAGCGCCCCGCGTTCCTTCCTCCTCCCGCTTCTCCCTCCCCCTCCTCCCTCCTCCCCCTCATTGCCTCTGCTCTCGGCGCACCTCTCACACGTTTCGTAGCCCCATAGGGAGCTCCACCGAAGGCCCCACTGGGGGGGGTCGCATGCGGGTCCCCCGCCCAGGGCAGCGTTTCGTGGCCCCATAGGGAGCTCCGCCGAAGGCCCCACTGGGGGTGTTCGCATGCGGGTACCCCACCCAGGACAGCGTTTCGTGGCCCCACAGGGAGCCCCACCGAAGGCCCCAGTGGTGGTGTTCGCATGCGGGTACCCCACCCAGGACAGCGGCCCCAAAGGGAGCCCCACCGAAGGCCCCAGTGGGGGTGCCCGCATGCGTCCCCCACGCCCAGGGCAGCATCACGTGGCCCCATAGGGAGCTCCACCGAAGGCCCTTGGGGGTGTTCGCATGCGGGTCCCCCGCCCAGGGCAGCGTTTCGTGGCCCCATACGGGGCTCCACCGAAGGCCCCACTGTGGGTGTTCGCATGCGGGTCCCCCACCCAGGACAGCGTTTCGTGGCCCCATAGGGAGCTCCACCGAAGGCCCCAGTGGGGGTGTTTGCATGCGGGTCCCCCGCCCTGGACAGCGTTTCGTGGCCCCATGGGGAGCTCCACCGAAGGCCCCAGTGGGGGTGTTCGCATGCAGTTCCCCCACCCAGGACAGCGTTTCGCGGCCCCATAAAGGGGGCTCCACCGAAGGCCCCACTGGGGGTGTTCGCATGCGGGTCCCCCACGCCCAGGACAGCGTTTCGTGGCCCCATACGGGGCTCCACCGAAGGCCCCACTGGGGGTGTTCGCATGCGGGTCCCCCACCCAAGACAGCGTTTCGTGACCTCATAGGGGGCTCCACCGAAGGCCCGAGTGGGTGTGTTCGCATGCGGGTCCCCCACCCTGGATAGCGCTTCGTGGCCCCAAGGGGAGCTCCACCGAAGGCCCCAGTGGGAGTGTTCGCATGCGGTTCCTCCGCCCAGGACAGCGCTTCGTGGCCCCATAGGGAGCCCCACCGAAGGCCCCAGTGGGGGTGTTCGCATGCGGTTCCTTCACCCAGGGCAGCGCTTCGTAGCCCCATGGGGAGCCCCACCGAAGGCCCCAGTGGAGATGTTCGCATGCGGGTCCCCCACCCAGGGCAGCGTTTCGTGGCCCCATAGGGAACTCCGCCGATGGCCCCAGTGGGGGGGTCGCATGCGGTTCCTTCACCCAGGGCGGCGTTTCGTGGCTCCATAAAGAGCTCCACCGTAGGCCCCAGTGGGGGTGCCCGCATGCGATTCCCCCACCCAGGGCGGCGTTTCGTGGCCCCACAAGGGGGCTCCACCGAAGGCCCCACTGGGGGTGTTCGCATGCGGGTCCCCCGCCCAGGGCAGCGTTTCGTGGCCCCATAAGGAGCTCAACCAAAGGCCCCAGTGGGGTTGCCCGTTCCCCCACCCAGGGCCGCGTTTCGTGGCCCCACAGGGAGCTCCACCGTAGGCCCGAGTGGGGGTGCCCGCATGCGGTTCCCCCGCCCAGGTCGGCGCTTCGTGGCACCATAAAGAGCTCCACCGTAGGCCCCAGTGTGGGTGCCCGCATGCGGTTCCCCACCACCACCACTGTGGCAAGCCCCTCACACAGTTCGTGGCCCCATAGGAGCTCTACCGACGACTAGATTCACAACTGCGGTACTTACAACTGCATATGGTTGGGTCCTTCGCCAGGCTATTTTTTTCGTCCCAGACGTGCACTTTCTTGTTCCCATCCATCCTGTGGTGTTGGGTCCTCGTTTTGAAAAGACGTTCCCCCCATTCCTCCTTTCCTCGTCCTCCTCTCGTCCTCCCTCCTCCCATCACCCTCCTCGTTTTGGCACTCCCCTCACATGTTTCGTGGCCCCATAGGGAGCTCCACCGAAGGCCCCAGTGGGGGTGCCCGCATGCGCCCCCCCCCCCACCCAGTACAGCGTTTCGTGGCCCCATAAAAGGGGGCTCCACCGACGGGCCCAATTGGGGTGCCCGCGTGCGCCCCCCCCCACCCAGGACAGCGTTTCGTGGCCCCACAAGGAGGTCCACTGAAGGTCCCAGTGACGGTGCCCGCGTGAGTCCCCCCCACCCAGTACAGCGCTTCGTGGCCCCATAGAGAGCTCCACCTGAGGCCCCAGTGGGGGTGCCCGCATGCAGGGCAGCGCTTCGTGGCCCCGTGGGGATCCCCACTAAAGGCCCCAGTGGGGGTGCCTGCATGCACCCCCGCCCACCCAGTACAGCGCTTCGAGGCCCCACAGGGAGCTCCACCGACGGCCCCACTGGGGGTGCCCGCATGCGTCCCCCCCACCCAGTGCAGCGCTTCGTGGCCCCATAGGGAGCTCCACCGAAGGTCCCAGTGGGGGTGCCCGCATGCGTCCCCCCCACCCAGTGCAGCGCTTCGCGGCCCCTCCACTGAAGGTCCCAGTGGGGGTGCCCGCATGCGTCCCCCCACTCTGTACCAGCGCTTCGTGGCCCCATAGGGAGCTCCACCGACGGCCCCACCGGAAGTGCCTGCATGCGTCCCCCCCGCCCAGTACAGCGCTTCGTGGCCCCATAGGGGGCTCCACCGACGGCCCCAGTGGGGGTGCCCGCGTGCGCCCCCCCCCAACCCAGTACAGCGCTTCGTGGCCACATAGGGGTTCCACCGAAGGTCCCACTGGGGATTCCCGCATGCGTCCCCCCTACCCAGTGCAGCGCTTCGCGGCCCCATAGGGAGTTCCACCGAAGGCCCCAGTGGGGGTGCCCGCATGCGCTCCCCACCCCCGCCCAGTACAGCGCTTCGTTGCCTCACAGGGAGCTCCGCCGAAGCCCCACGCTCACCCAGTACAGCGTTTCGTGGCCCTGAACTCCACCGACGGCCCCAGTGCTGCCGCCCGCATGCGTCCCCCCCCACCCATTACAGTGTTCCGTGGCCCAATAGGGAGCTCCACCGACGGCCCCAGTGCCCACCCAATACAACGCTTCGTGGCCCCATACGGAGCTCCACCGACGGCCCCAGTGCTACCGCCTGCATGCGTTCTCCCCCACCCAGTGTAGCGCTTCGTGGCCCCACAGGGAGCTCCACCGAGTAATATATGCACAATTGCGGTACTCACACCTGCACATGGTTGGGATCTTCGCAGGGATGTTTTTTTTGAATGCGCGGTCCTGGAAGTCCCGGCCCCTTCCCCAGGGCCGTTGTCTGATCCCAGCCAGCTGTTTTGACAAGGCCCGCTGACAGCGCCAGGAGGCCGAACATTACCGAAATCTTCCCGCCGTTATATTTCTCATGGCACGAGCATGTTTGGGCTCCACCCTCCTCGTCCCCCATCCTCGGAGGAGGACAGGGTACCCAAACTGGTACCCTTGCCTCCTTTTCCTCTTTTTGAGCCTCCTGGTGGGCCCTCGTCGCCATCGCTGGGTTCGCCTCGAAGTCCTGGTCAGAACGCGCCCCGGAAGATGTACCTGTTGGCTTCCCCATCCTCGTCCCACGTCCGCCCCCTGGCGCAAGCGGCACTTTGAGGTGCTGCAACCTCGCGCTGGATCGGGGAGATTCAAGAGGGGGGTGATGGCCAGGAGGGAGTGGACATCATGGCTGGGGCCATGTGATCTCCCCAGATTTCACAGCCCCTCTTCTTCTTTCGACACGTCCCTGGCCCCGTGCCACGATTTGTGAAATCCTCTGTTGGACGCTCCCCTCTTGGGCGCCCCCGAGTCCCCCGGCCGCCCCCTGGCGCGAGCGGCACCCTGAGGTGCTGCAACCTCACGCTGGACAGCGAGAAGGTGCCCAACATGGTGTCCAGGAGGCTCGGCCGCGAGAGCGGGGAATCTGCCAGCAGAAGGGAGAGGGAGGAAGATGAAGAGGAGGAGGAGGAGGAGGAGGAGGAGGAGGAGGAGGAGGAGGAGGAGGAGGAGGAGGAGGAGGAGGGAGGAGGAGGAGGAGGAGGAGGAGGAGGAGGAGGAGGAGGAGGAGGAGGAGGAGGAGAGGAGGAGGAGGAGGAGGAGGAGGAGGAGGAGGAGGAGGAGGAGGAGGAGGAGAGGAGGAGGAGGAGGAGGAGGAGGAGGAGGAGCAGGAGATGTTGCAGGAGGAGGAGGAGGATGAGGAGGAGGAGGAGGAGGAGGAGGGAGGTGGAGGAGGAGGACTAAGAGGAGGAGGGGGAGGGGGAGGGGGAGGAGGAGGAGCAGGAGGAGTTGCAGGAGGAGCAGGAGGAGGAGGAGGAGGAGGAGGAGGAGGAGGAGGAGGAGGAGGAGGAGGAGGAACCCCGAGCACTGGGCGCCGGGGCCACCTCCCGCTGGCGATCGATACAGGTGGTCGCCATGGGACGGCGGTGCTCCAATTCCCGCGCTGGCTCCCAGGAGACCGAGCGATGGGGCTCAGGGATGGGTCGGGGCTCAAGAGACGGGAGTCAATGCAAACGGGGGTCAGCCAGGGCGCTGGATCTTGCAGGATACCGCAGAGCAGGGTCGCTCTGACCCGGACTCGGGTGCCGGATCCTGCAGGATTTGTAGGGTCCTGCATGCAGTTTTGCAAGGCCTGGCCGACCCAGGTCTGGGTCAGAAGATCCCCGAAGGCCAGCCGCTGAGGCTGCCGCCAACGCTCGGGCGCGGCTCTGGGGCGCGTCCCTCGGCGGCGCGCTCCGTTCAGCCTGCGCGGCAGCTGCGCAGTGCAGTCGGCGGCGAGGCGGCCGCAGAGGCGGCGGGCCGGTTGGCGGCGGAGTTGGCCAGGCAGGCAGCCCGGGGGGGCGGGCTCTGCGGCGGCGATGTTCTCCTGTCGGCCACCTGTTCGTCGCGCCCGTGGAGAAGTTCAGGGTGCGCGCGGTCGTAGCATAGACCGCTCGCAGTGCCGCGAGGACGATGGCGAAGGCTATAATGCGATCATTGTCATTCTATGCGTTGAAGGACGCAAGGACGTTTTCACCAGGCCAGGCTTTCGGGTAGTGTTCTTTTCGCTTGTTTTTTCGCTCATGCGAGTCCGATGATCGATCTAGACTTGTTTAGCGGCGTGCGTGCCTGCAGAGCGCGAGTGGCTCGAAGCGTTGCTGGCGCTTGGGCGCGACCGAACCACCCGACGGGACCCAGCGCCAGCGCCACTCGGAGGACACGATGACGCACCGGGCGGGAGGGCCAGGGGTGCGACAGACGGCCGCCAGCGGCCGCCAACGCCACGGGACGAGCCCAGGAGCCCGCCGGTGAATTGAAGGGTCATGAGCAGGAGGGGGAGCAGGGGGAGGGGAAGGAGCAGGAGAAGGAGGAGGAGGAGGAGGAGCAGTAGGAGGAGGAGGAGGAGGAGGGTGAGGAGGGAAGGAAGAGATGAAGGGTAAGGGATAGTATGAGGAGGATGATGAGGAGGAGATGAGAGGGAAGGAGGAGGAGGAGGAGGAGGAGGAGGAGGAGGAGGAGGAGGAGGAGGAGGAGGAGGGAGGAAAGTGATGAGCTGATGGAGAGCAGAGGAGGGGGCGCAGGGCCTCGGATGGCCTCTGGGGCTTCCAGGGATGACCTCAGGGGCGTCGGGGGGCTGTAGCGCTGTTCGGGGTTATCTCGAAGGAGCCAGGGCCGTGTTTCTTGACGGCCCTTCCGGGCCGGGCGAGGGCCCCCAGTGGCCGACGAACATTGCCAGAAGCCTCCCGTAGGGATTTTTTTGCGACGCCAGCACGTCTTGGTTTGCGCCTTCTGCGTGCGATCCTTGGCCCCGGATCTGTGTTGGATGGCCCTGGGACCCGACGACGGGCCGCAGGGGCCGACATCGAGGAGAAACGGCTGGATTGAAAGCATGTCATCGTCGGAGACCCAGGTTTTCCTTGCGATCATCGGTCCCGGACCCGTTGTTGATGGTTTGGGGGCGTGATGTCGAGCCACAGAGGCCGATCGAGGAAAAGCGGCGGGATTGAACCTCATTGCATCGTTGCAGACCTGGGCTCTGCGCGCGATCCTGCGTTCCAGATTCGTTTTGAATGGTCTCGGGATCCAGCATCACGGGCCCCGGATGCTGGCGTCGAGGATGAAACGGCGGGATTGAAAACATTAGTCGTCGGGGGCCAGGCAGTTTGTGGCAGTTTCTGGGCTCTCGCTGCCGTTCCTGGGCCCTGAGACCGTCAAATACGAGTCAGGATGAAGCGCCTTCTGGGAAGGGGCCAAGCTGTCCAGGGGCCAGATGAAGAAGCAGATCCTCCGAGATCTGTTTTATCACAAGCTGTGGCGTCATGTACATGTTATGGTGTGTGTGTGGCGGCATTTGCATGATGTGTGGTGGCATTTGTATTTGATATCGTGAGCGCTGTCATTTGCATTTGATCGCAGGCTCTGTATTGCCGCCTGCTGTGACCAGCCTGGGCCTGTGGTGTAGTTGTGATTCATGGCTCTCACTTGTGGTTGCCCACGTACAATCCTGCCCCACGCGTATTCTTGACGCAAGGCTTCAGTGGGTCTGTATTTGATCTGGCTCTTCGTGCGATCATCGGCCCTCCTCCCAATGATCGACGTTGGCAGTAGGCTCAATGAGTTGCATGTCGGTCGCAGTCTCTTCCGCCGAGTGCCAACTTTGAAGTTGGGGGAGAAGAGGAATGCCCACTGTTTATTTCCCTCCACCGGATCGGTCCTCCCACGACCTTGGGCGTTGCGTAGTGGGTGGGTCGCTAAACTGGGGGCCGGCGAGGACTGCAGACAAGCTCTTTAGGGCCTCCTAGGGGCCCCTAGAGGAAGCCTCCGAGAAGTGGACCTCCCCTCATTTATCGCTCCTCCATGGAGCGACGCCCAACGACCCCGACCACGACCACGGCGGCGGCAGTGTCGGCGGCGGCGGCGGCCCACGCGGCGCGTGGGATGCGACCCGAGCTGCTCCGCTGGCCCCTTCCGCCGCCCCGAGGCACGCCGTCATCGTGAGCGCGGACGACGCGGCCCCTGCGCGCCCCGCCCGAGCCTGGGCCCTCCTCCTTATTCTCGTCCCTCCTCTTCCTCTCTTCTCCATCTCGCCCTCCCTCTTCCTCCTCCTCCTTCCCTCCCTCCCTCCGTCCCTCCCTCCGTCCGTCCCTTCCTCCCTCCTCCTCTCCCTCCTTCCTATCTTCTCCTCCTCTCCCTCCCTTCTCCCTGCCTCCCTCCGTCCCCCCACCTCCACCTCCACCACCTCCTCCATGACTCCACCTCGACCTCCACCCTATCCTCCTGGGCCGCGCAGATATCAAAGGAGGAAAGGCATACCCACCCCCATCATTTGCTTTCATCGGACGGGGTTAGGACGAGGATAAATCCTTTCCAGAGTGTTCCAGGACGCTCTCAGAGCGTTCAGGAACACCCTGAGAAGGCCGCGGCGCTCGAATCATCCTCCAGAGCCGCCAGATCTGATATATTGGTGTGCTGATATGGTGGGAGTCTGGATAGAAACGGGGATGAGGACAGGGGTCGGTTAAACGATACTGAGAAACTAATTCGAAGCCTGGACCAGGATAACATCGGGTACACCTCGAAACCCAGAGGAAACGGCCTACCGGGTACACCTCGAAACCCAGAGGAAACGGCCTACCTATCACCATCTCCGGGTCTAAATCGGCCACTGGGGCCCAGGCCACGCCCATGGGGATAGAGGTCGGTTAAACGGTGCTCATAATCGGCGTTTGCTGAGTTGCCTGGTCGTTTGTTGAACAGCCTTGCGCCTTGTTGGATTCCTTCTCTGGCCGCGTTTGTTGAATGGCTTCGCTGGTCGGGGTGCTGATTATGAGGGTAGCTTTTCTGCTTTTTGCACATGTCGACACTTGTTGAATCACCTGGCGATGGCGGCAAAGGGGCCGGTCGCGTCACGATATTCGCGTCGGCGCCGTCTGGTAATGCTTACGGTCAGGAACTTTGGCTTAGCATGTCGCGCCGCCGGTTCTGGCCCACCACGCTTCGGCGCGACACTTCCCAGTCCCCAGGCTTCACTTCCCAGTCCCCAGGCTTCAACGTCTCGAGCCTTTCCGTACCTCCCGGCCCGCGCAGCGAAGCGACGCGCCATCCGCTGGCCAGGCATAGCGTGCCGCCGGGGCCGCTGCCGCGACATGCTAGGCAACACTTCCTGACCGTAGGCATGGCCAATCCCTGACGGCGCCAGCGCGAATCGTAACGTGGCCAATTCCTGACGGCGCCAGCGCGACTCGTGACGTGACCCAGGGGGGGAGGGGGGGAGGGCGGGGCCCGTCACGGGCCTCCTCGCGCACAGCACAGAGTGGGCTCATGGGGGTTCTGGCCAGACCTCCGACGATCTGTTTCTCTTAGTCCTGGCGTCTTTGTCCTTCGTCGCTTCCCCCAGGGGTGCCGCCAGCGGGCCAACAGGACCGGCACACGTGCCTCCGACGACACGCTACCCCCAGCAAAGCTTCTGGGATCTCGGATCGAAAACGAACAATATCGGAGGATGTCTGGGGATGGGTGTGCCCAGTCCCTCTCGCGTCGTGGAGAAGTCAGGCCGTCCTCGGCGTTTTGGCATTTGGGGCCTTTGAATATAATACTGGGCCAAGGGGCCGCTCACAAAAACAATTCAGAATGAAAAGCTGGCCCTAGAGGAAGGTGTTGCGTTTTCGGGGGGCACTGACAGCATTTTGACACATCGGATCTCCGGCATGGGGTCGCAGGACTGCGCCGTAGTACCGACGGGTCGGCCATGCGGCGAGCTCCAGAGCCCGCTGTGCTTCACCCCGACGTCGCAGATGCATCGCCCACGCATTGGCGATGCAGTGCAATCCTCCGACCCCATCTGCTCAGACCCCGCGTGAGGGCGGCCTCCATCGAGAAAGACCGGCCGCAACCGAGAGATGCTGGTACCTCAATGCCCCCGTGGGGGGCTGGTCGCCAGTACTGAGATTGTTCTCCCGGGAGGCAGGGAAGACAGCTTCCCACTGACGCCGCCGCCAAAGCCGTCGTCGTCGTCGTCGTCGTCGTCGTCGTCGTCGTCGTCGTCGTGGTCGCCGTCTTTCGTCGCCGTTCGACGGTCCACTACTGCCGTAACGATGAAATAAGGACCATCCTTAGGCTCAGGAGGGGCTCTGGTTTTCGGGCTGTTCCTTAGTTCGAGGTCGGGGGACCTGTTCGCTCCGTGTGGCAGCACGATGACTGTATCGAGGCTCGATCGAAGGAACGTGCACGCCGTAGCACCGACGACGCGCCACCACCCCACCCCTCGGGCGGGTGGTAAGGGGGGTGACCTACATGGGGTGTGGAGAATGAGGCCCTAAAGGAGCCCTGCCGATGCATCGCCGATACATCGCCGATGCGGCGCGAGCCTCCGACCCAATCTACTCCGACCCCATTAAGAAGGTCTCTAAAAGACCCACCGGAAGAGTCCACCGGGAACGCCCACCGTGTGCTGGTACAGGGAGAACCTATTGGGGAAAGCTGGCACGACTCAGCGGTTTCGGAACAAACCTTGTGAGGGGTGCCGCGGGAACGGGTGGGCAAGACTTACTAAAACCGACTGTGCCCAGCTCGGCACGATCGGGATGGTTACGGCAGGAATGGGGTACGAAGACTGACAACAGTTCTTGTCCATTTTGAGCAGGATTTGACGTCGGTGCCGCCGCGGGACTTGTTCATTTCAGATGGAAGCCGCCTACCCAACAGCGGCCGCCATCGGTTTGGGACAATATTAGTTGTTGGGCGTCGTGCCCCTTTTTGTGTACCCGTCGAAAAGGTACCCTGGCATCCGCTCGTCCGGAAGAAACGCGACGGACGGCTATGGCAATTTTCTGCCTTCGGGGGCTCTCGCCTGGCCCTGGGACGGTCAAACCGAGACCAATGTTGAAAATGTGGTTTTCGGAGAATGGGTCGAGACCTCTTTGGGGGTCAATGTCGTGAAAAAAAACATGACGTCGGGGGTCTGGGGATATGGGTGTTGCGATTTTGACACATTGGGCGTTCTCGCCAAGTTTCGGGCCTGAGGAGCCCTCGCGGGTTGACGGGGCTCGAGAAATGCCGCAGACGGATGGGGTCCAAGGAACCGTGTCGTGATGCTGGACGATGTCGCCGTTTTCCGCGAGGACCTGCAGGGGTGGAGCCCCGCACGCGGATCTCGCTCCAGTCGGATCGGAGCCTCGCGGATCCGCAGTCCGCACCCGTTCGTCCCGACTTGCCTCTCCGGGCCTCGGTTTGCGCAGGCCTCCGCGGGACTGGGTCGCATCGTGCAACGCGCTGCGCGCGTGTTCGGACAGGTCGTGCGCGTCGACGGTTGTTGGCCGCTTTCGGGTTCCCAGGCTCTCCACGGGCGCTGAGTACGCAGGATGAGCTGGTCCCGTGGTAAGGACTCAGGGTCCCGGTTCCGTTCCCCTCAGGACCCGTTTGCGCTCGCCGACGAGGTCCCGCAGCGCTTTGGGACGGCTGCGGCGCCCGCCCGACATCCGAGCATGTTCGTGAAGCAACGTGCTGCGACCTCTGCGGTGTAAGCCGTGCGTGGCGCACGCTGTGTGGTGTATCGAGCTAGGTGGTGTCAGCTACAGCCGGCGCTTATCAGTAGGTCGCGACCCTGCCAAATCAAGGGTACCCTTGCGTCCTGTGTATCGCGACCTATGCCTCCTACATTCCCATGGCAGTGTGGCCCTCGCAAGGGTTTTTGTGTCTTCTCGCGTGTCCTTTCCAATCCAGTCCGTGGCGCGCCGACGGCGGCGGCGGCGACGACGACCACAACGACCACGACGACGACGACCACGACGACGACGACGAGGACGAGGGCGAGGTCGACAACGACCACGAAGAGGACGACGACGGAAGACGAGGACGACGACCACGACGAGTCCACCCCATCCAGTGCACGGGGCGCCCACGAGGTGCCCGTGGCCGCGCCGCCGGGCCAGGGGCCCGGGGCTCCCGACCCGCGCACGAGGCGCCCGCCGGGGCGCCCACGGACGGGCACCACCGGCCGAGCGCCCCGAAAGGTCCCCGCCGGCGCCCCCGTGGCGCCCAGTATCCAAGCAGTGGCGAGGCGCTTTGGCTCGCCGAGAGGCCCACTCTGAACGGTTTTTTGAAGGCGGTCTGCCCTCAACAGAAACCGTTCTTACAGAGTGGCTCTCCGGTGCCAAGAACCTTAATTTGGGAGTTGGCACGGAGTGTCGCTATGTTTGTTTTTGTTCTCAGCACGTCCTTTTCCTCTGAGAGCACATGTCGTGGTATAGGCCTACAGGAATGCCGGGGCGGACGGTCCCTGCTCAGCACGAGGCGTCCGCGGCAGGGTGCCCGGAGGCCCTGCAAAAGCCCAGCTGGCGCGAACGGGGCCACGGGGCGCCCGGCACTGGCCGAGAGCCCGGGCACCTGGTCCACCGGCTCTGTGGCGGCAGCAGAAGCTCGGAGTGCCAGCACTCTTTGGGAAACAAGCTGCATGCGGCTCTGCTGCCTCGCGGCCTCTTCCTGGGGACCAGCTTCGTTGAGGAGTGGGATCGTGTTCTGATGAATCCCGGAACTCGAAGCTGCCCCCAGGAAGACGCCGCAAATGGCGAAGAGCATCCGCTCCGACTTTAATACGGCGTTGGAGGCCCTGGCCTGTCCTCAGAGATCCTGCGGTCGGATGTTGTCAATCCACGGCCCAGAGGTCCCGACCCCTTCTCCAAGGATTCTCAGATACCGGGATCCCTGCTCACACTTGGCACGCGAGCAGGTCATGGCCGTCGACTGCGAGTCGGTCAACGGCACCTTCGTCAACGGCCGCAGGGTCGGCCGCGAAACGTTGCGGCAGGGCGCCCGCGCCCGCCGCCCCGCCTCATTCGCCGCGCCCGCCCGTAGTTCGCGTGTCTCGGGGGCGACGTCAGCGGGGCAGGAGGCTCTGGGAGGGGATGCATCGACCCCCCATCGCCCACTGATCGCCTGTAGGGGCCTCACAGGCCGCCCCGCCCAGGAACATCGCCGATCCATCGGCGATGCATCGCCGGCCGATTCCAGCTCGATGCCTCCCCCCTAGCATCTCACCCCCTAATGTTGGCCCTCATCGTAGTTGTCGTCGTCATTCTCGTCGTCATTGTCGTGGCTAGGCATTGTCGTCGTCATGGTCGTCGTCGTCGTCGTCGTCGTCGTCGTCCTCCTCGAAATCGTCGTCGTCGTCGCCGTCGTCCTCGTCCTCGTCGTCGTGGTGGTCGTCGTCGTCGTCGTTGTCGATGTCGTCGTCGCCGCCGCCGTCGTCGTCGTCGTTGTCGTCGCCGCCGCCGTCACCAAGCGAGGGCCGAGGCCCAGGCTCGAGGATCTCGAAGCTGTTGGGCTGGCGGCTCTGTCGCACTCTCTGCCAGAGAGTGCGACAGAGCCGACAGAGAGTGCGACAGAGCCCCCCCCCTGTAGGGCCCAGAGAGTCTCTGGGCCCTACAGGGGGGGGGTCGCAGCCTTCCAAAGGGGCTTGTTTCGCGCTGCGACAGCTGTTTTGTTGGCGAGCGAGGGTGATGGCAGCGCGCACTCTATGGCGATGGCAGCGCACCCCCGCCCCGACGCGCTCCACGCCACCCAAGCGGTACCGCTACCTGGGGCCCCAGCCCTCCCACCTCTCAGGGTTAGCAGCCGTTACCGGAAATGACAGAAAAAGGCAGTCTTCATCGACGGTGAGCGAGAGGGGGAAAGGAGAAGGGTAAGGATTTCTCAGCAGGCGGCGGGTCTTCTCAGAAGGCGGCGGGACTTCTGAGAAGTTTCCTGGGTCTTCGGGGAAGGCTTAGAGAACTCAGCAGGCTGGGGGCCTTCCGAGCCTTCTGCGAAGACCTTCTCCTCACTTCCCCCCCCTTGCTCGCCGCCGAGCTGTGGGTGGGTGGCACAGATTGGAGGGACAATCATTACGCACGCAACGGCTTCTTCAGGAACATCTACGACACCACGGTGTAGGGTCCCTGGCCCGCCCGCGCCGACCCACAAGGGTCCCGTTCCGGCGGACATGCGCGCTCCGCTCCGCTCTCGCTCCGCTCCCGGGCCCCGTGGCCGCTGCTTTTGTGTATACGCCCGTCTCTGATTCGCCGTCGTTTGGACGGTGTTCGATGAAACGTTTTGTTGTGCGATCCTGGAAGGCGTTTTATTGTTCCCTCTCTCTCCATATACGCCTGTATGTTTGTGTGTGTACATGTATGCATGAATCTCTGTCTGTCTGTCTTCCTGTGTGTGTGTGTGTCTGTCTGTCTGTCTGTCTGTCTGTCTGTCTGTCTGTCTGTCTGTCTGTCTGTCTGTCTGTCTGTCTGTCTGTCTGTCTGTCTGTCTGTCTGTGTGTCTGTGTGTGTATCTTGTGCGTTTGCAGTTTTACGTGGTCACGATCGATTGCAGCTCTGAAAATTGGGCGCATGGGTCCGAGGAGCGGTCCAGGGGACGGATTCTCAGCGGGGCGTGGGCGTGGCGAGGCTTTCTCTCACCATCGTTTTGTGTTTTATCCTCTGGCGGGCCACGGTCGTTACCTGAGCCCCCCCATACCCCCTCCCTGGGTATGGCAAACGATCGTACTTGTGTGGGGGGGGGCTGGAATCTCCCCCACGTGCAGGAGCTCGCGCGCGTTCTATGGCGATGGCAGCGCACCCCCGCCCCGACGCGCTCCACGCCGCCCAAGCGTTACTGCTATCCGGCCCCCCCTCCAGGGTTAACAGCCGTTACTGGAAGTAACAGAAAAAGGCAATCTTCATCGGTGGTGAGCGAGGGGGGGAATGAGAAGGAGAAGACCTTCTCAGAAGGCGGCGGGACTTCTCAGAAGCCAGCGGGACTTCTCAGAAGCCCTCGCGCCTTCTGAGAAGTCTGTTCTGTCTTCGGGGAAGGCTCCGAAAACTTCTCAGCAGGCTGGGGGACTTCCGAACCTTCTGCGAAGACCTTCTCCTTCTCACCTCCCCCTCTCGCTCGCCGCCGATCCCAGACCTGTCCCCAGCCCCAGCGGGCTGGGCCTCCGTGCCGCCGCTTGCCTGCCCCCTCGAGGCGGGGATGCACGCCTCGGAGCCCCCCCCCCTTTTTCTGCGAGGGCACCCCTCCGCAGCCAGGGTGTGTGTGGCGGGCAGCGGGGCCACGGCTCTCCCAGCGGGGAGGGGGGCAGATCTGCCGATGCCGCGTGCTGGTGCCCCGCGTGCGCGAGGGCGCGAAGCGCGTGGCGGGGGTGCCGAGATGCACGAGGAACTTGTTCGGTGGTCATTCTCCTCTCCTCCTCTTCCTTCTTCCCTCCCTCCCTCCCTCCCACCCTCCCAGCCTCCCTCCCTCCCTTCTCCATAGTGATCGCTCCTGGAAGTCTCTCGATGGCCCCTGCATGTCTCTGGAGGTCCCCGGAGGCCTCCCGAGATCCCCGTGGATGCCCTGAGAGTTCCCCCAGAGGCATTCAGAGGTCTGAAGAGGCTTACGGTAGGTTCATGCGGCGATGGCGCGCCGGCGACGCCGGCGAAGGCGTCAAGGTTGAATTCCGCACGATAGAGCGATGCGAAGCACCGAGGGACATGGTAACGCCACAGGACCCGACTGGATTCAACCTTGAACGTTCGGGGCTGCGATCGGTTCAAGGTTGAAGAACGATCGAGGCGGTATCAAAAGTCTTCGCGCGCGCCGACGCCGCACGAACTTACCGTACAACAGTGCCAAGAGCGTTCAGACACCTCGATCCTCGATCACCACGTTCCTCTTCCCCTCGGTTCTTCCCCCCAGGACTGTCTTTCTCCAGGAAGATGCGCGAGGACGCGGCGATAATCTCGCTTCGCGCGGCACGGTACGAGTACATTTGTGCCGACATAGACGCGTAAGGTGCCCGCGTAAGCTCGCGCGTAAGCGCCCTCGTCTCCAATGTAGCGTGCCGCGCCAGTCGGCCCGCGCAAGTCACCGCGTAAGGTCGCTATGTTCTCTCGCGCAGGACCCCTTTTTTTCGTCGCTCAGGTCGGTATTCCAAATGTAGGGCAGCGCCCACTGTCATGAGAGGCTCGTGTCCACCGCTTCCGAATCGTGCCCAGAAGCCTCGAGGAAGCGTGCGCACGTGTGGATGTCCCACGCCTGCGTTCGGGGAAGCATCAGCAGCGCCCATCGCTCGCCGTGGGCATGACTCAAGCAGCTGTAGACATGGCAGTTCCCTGGCGGTGAGCATCGGTCTCTCGCCTGTAATGACCAGCGCCTGCTGTTTTTACTGACGTGTCCCGCGGCTATGCCGATTTCTTTATTCCGTATCGTACGAGGAGGGATTCGGTTGCACCGTTAAACACGGTGGGCCGATGCGCGTGGTGCGCATGGTGCGCTAATCGCAATCACGCGGTTGAGTCGTTGCACCAGTGGCCGGTAGATGTTCACACCTGAATGGGACTTCGCCATTGCACATCCGCTTTTTGTTTCTGCGGCTGGCATGCACTACAGTCAACCCGCATAGTAAGGATGGGCACCCTTCGCAAAGGTACACTTGCATCCTTGCCTCCTCGGTGTATCCTTCGCCACTTTCGTTGGCCGCGCCCCGCTCGGAAAGCTTCGAAGTGGGCGTCCAAGGGCCTTGCATCCTTATCGCGCATCCTTACTATACGGGTTGACTGTACCTGTCTGGTCTGTGACGCGCCAGGGAGGGAGGGGCAGGACACAGGGTTGGGCGGGTGAGCGGCAGGGGCGGGGAGAGGGATGCGGGAGGGGCACGGAGATCGGGGGCAGAGGAAGGGGAGGGGGAGGGGGAGGGGGAGGGGAGCCCCACCCCCTCCGCCCTCGGCCGCTCCTCCTCCCCCCCGATCCCCCCTTTTGCTTTCCCTCCTTCCCCAGCCCGCCTTCCACCTCCTTCCCTCTCTCCCTCCTCCCCCTTCCTCCTCCCTCCTCCCCCACTTCCTCCTCCTTCCTTGAGTGCAGCACGACCCACCCCCACCCCCATCAGGACGCCCACTCCCGACCTGGTCATCCAGGGGTTCCTGGTCGGGGGTGGGAGTACTTTTGTTGGCCCCCAATGGCCCCCCCACAGCCATCCCCACCCCCAGCCAGGATCCCCTGGACCACGAGGTTGGGAGTGGGGGTCCTGGTGGGGGTGGGGTTGGGTCGTGCTGTCCTCGTTCCTACTCTTCACTTCACTTATCATGCACCTCGATGCTGGTCTGCCGCGCGCACGCGCGCCTCTCTGCGATCGCGCCTCTCTTCCGCGTGAGACTCACTCAAACCACAAACCCTCCCCTCCTCTCTCTGCGGGGTGAGGAAAGGGGGAGGAAAGGGGGAGGAAAGGGGATGGGGCGGAGGAGGGTGGAGGAGGAGGGTGGAGGAGGAGGAAAGGGGTGGAGGAGGAACACAGGGGTGGAGGAGGAGAAGGAGGAGGTTGGAGGAGGACGAGGAGGATGGAGGTGTCGCTCCGTTGATGGAGGTTCCGAGGCGGCCCCAAGGAGCTCGCTCCCCACCCCCCCGCGGCCGCAGCGAGGCGACACTCTGACCGTCGGGCAGCCCGGCCTCTGCCCCCCCGAGTTCGAGTTC